TATGGAAGGATATGAGTACAGTGGAGGTAAACCTAAGCGTTGGGTAACGATGAAAGAGATAGCATCACTGGAGGCACAGATTGAGTCGGTCTCCGCGTGTATGGGGGGTGGGACAAAGGAGCTATCTAAGGCAGGTTGAGCTGGGCTGGGGGATCTACAGTGAAATAGTACAATAAGAAATAACCGAAACAGCAATAAGCAAGACATATTGACATGGGAGAGAGGCATAAAGCAATCACAGGTGTTATTTGAGAGAGCTAAGACAACAGCTGGTAATGGCGACAAAGTTTGGGCTGAGGCTAAACATAAACAAGATGCGGTACCGTAAAAAGGAACAGTCCAGCAGGCATCAGCTGTGTAACTGAGTTATCATAAGGTCTGGTGAACAGCAATAGGAGAGTTCGGAGGTAGTTCGGGGGTTGCTATAGCACTGGCGAGCAATAGGCCACGGCTAGCGTGTTGCTAGCGGCCCGGGGCTAGCAGATGGATCTTCGGGGTCGACGTCATAACGGGAAGCCTGTTGTAACCACATCAGACGATTTCGTCTGCAGACCAGTCGTGTTGGATCTGCGGGGCTCTGTGTCAACACTAGGAGGTCCCGTCCGGTTGACAGAGAGGTAGATAGCCGGGAGATGGGCCTGGCTCTAGGCTAGCTCAAGGCTGATTAGCCAACAACAACTTCCATTTGGTTGCAGCTAGCTAGCTGCGATGAGCCGGTGTTAAAGGTCCAGTGATTCAGTAATTCCGGCAGAAAAACGGATATGTTCTGGGTCGATAACGTGCTGTGCAGACAGTGCAGACTGGCCGATAATAGTCCAGGCTAGAGCTGGCTGGTAGGTAGTGCAGGCCAATGGTGAAAGACTTCTAACGGTGGCTAATAGCAAGTAGCTAGTTAGCTGGCTACTCCCGTCCGGTATACAGAGAAGTAGATAGCCGGGATATGGGGCTAGCTCGAGGCTAACTGGTGCTTGCTTCGGGGGCAGTGGTGATTAGCCAAACAGCTACATCAATTCGGTTGCGGCTAGCTAGTTGCGATCCGGTGTTAATGTCCAGTGATTCAGTTATTCCGGCAGAAAAATCTGATGTTCTGGGTGAAAACCGCTAAAGGGGGCTAATAGCAAGTAGCTAGTTAGCTGGCTAGCTAGTTTCAACTGTAGATTCTAGATAAAAGGTAAGTCAATAATAGAATCCGTTCCACATTGAGTGAGGCGGGTTGCAGGAAAGTATATTTTGTAGAAGGATGATAAGTGTGATAGGGAAATATGTACGAAAAATACTAAAAATACAAAAAAACTGGCTATTTACACAGACACACAACAAAGAACACGACTGCACTGCTACGCCATCTTGGATATGATGAAGGAGCTTGAAGGAGCTGGAGCTGTTTTGCCTTGAAGAATGGGCATAAATCCCAGTGGCTAGATGTGCCAAGCTTATAGAGACATACCCCAAGAGACTTGCAGCTGTAATTGCTGCAAAAGGTGGCTCTACAAAGTATTGACTTTGGGGGGGGGGGGGGGGGTGAATAATTATGCACGCTCAAGTTTTCAGTTTTTTTGTCTTATTTCTTGTTTGTTTCACAATAAAAAATATTTTGCATCTTCAAAGAGGTAGGCATGTTGTGTAAATCAAATGATACAAACCCCCAAAAAATCCCGGATGGATCAACAACATTGTAGTTACTCCATAATACTAACATTAATGACAGAGTAAACAGAAGGAAGCCTGTACAGAATAAAACTATCCCAAAACATGCATCCTGTTTGCAGTAGGGCACTAAAGTAAAACTGCAAAGAATGTGGCAAAGAAATTAACTTTATTTCCTGAATACAAAGCGTTATGTTTAGGGCAAAGTCAACACAACACATCACTGAGTACCACTCTTATGGGTATGTTATGTGTATGCTTCTCATCGGCAAGGACTAGGGAGTTTTTTAGGATAAAAGAGCTAAGCACAGGCAAAATCCTAGAGGAAAACCTGGTTTAGTCTGCTTTCCAACAGACACAGGGAGATAAATTCACCTATCGGCTTGAAAATCGATGGCAAGACTTGAATGATCAACAACCAACTTGACAGAGATTGAATAATTTTTTTAAGAATAATGTACAAATATTTTACACTGAACAAAAATATAAACGCAACTGAACAAAAATATAAACACAGCATGTAAAGTGTTGGTCCCATGTTTCATTAACTGAAATAAAATATCCCAGACATTTTCCAAACGCACAAAAAAGCTTATTTCTCTCAAATTCTGTGCACACATTTGTTTACATCCCTGTTAGTGAGCATTTCTCCTTTGCCAAGATAATCCATCCACCTGACAGGTGTGGCATATCAAGAAACTGATTAAATAGCATGATTACACAGGTGCACCTTGTGCTGGGGACAATAAAAGGCCACTCTAAAATGTGCAGTTTTGTCACACAACACAATGCCACAGATGTTTTAAGTATTGAGGGAGCGTGCAATTGGCATGCTGACTGCAGGATTGTCCACCAGAGCTGTTGCCAGAGAATTTAATGTTAATTTCTCTACCATAAGTCGCCTCCAACATCATTTTAGAGAATTTGGCAGTACTTCCAACCGGCTTCACAACCGCAAACCACGTGTAACTACGTCAGCCCAGGACCTCCATATCCAGCTTCTTCACCTGTGGGATCGTATGAGACCAGCCACCCGGACAGCTGATGAAACTGTGGGTTTGCACAACTGAAGAATTTCTGCACAAAACCAGTTTCAACTGTACAGGGAAGATGGCCAACAGCGTGTATGACGTTGTGTGGGCGAGCAGTTTGCTGATGTCAACGTTGTGAACATAGTGCCCCATGGTGGCGGTGGGGTTATGGTATGGGCAGGCATAAGCTACAGACAACGAACACAATTGTATTTTATCGATGGCAATTTTAATGCACAAAGATACCGTGACGAGATCCTGAGGCCCATTGTCCTGCCATTCATCCACCGCCATCACCTCATTAATGCATGGCCCCATGTCGCAAGGATCTGTACACAAATTCTGGAAGCTGAAAATGTCACAGTTCTTCCATGGCCTGCATATTTACCAGACATGTCACCCATTGAGCATGTTTGGGATGCTCTGGATCGATGTGTACGACAACGTGTTCCAGTTCCCGCCAATATCCACCAACTTCGCACAGCCATTGAAGAGGAGTGGGACAACATTCCACAGGCCACATTCAACAGCCTGATCAACTCTATGCGAGGGAGATGTCGCGCTGCATGAGGCAAATGGTGGTCACACCAGATACTAACTGGTTCTCTGATCCACACCCCTACCTTTTTCGTAAGGTATCTGTGACCAACAGATGCATATCTGTATTCCCAGTCATGTTAATTTATTTATTTCAATTGACTGATTTCCTTATATGAACTGTAACTCAGTAAAATCTTTGAAATTGTTGCATGTTGCGTTTATATTTTTGTTCAGTGTATAATCCAAGTCTGCAAAGCTCTTAGAGATTTACCCAGAAAGACTCACAGCTGTAATTGCTGTCAAAGGTGATTCTAACATGTATTGACTCGGGTGTGAATTCTTATGTAAATGAGATATTTATGTATTTCATTTTCAATAAATGTGCAAACATTTCTAAACACACGTTTTCACTTTGTCATTATAGGGTATTTTGTGTAGATACAATATATATTTAATCCATTTTGAATTCAGGCTGTAACACAACAAAATGTGGAATAAGTCAAGGGGTATGAATACTTTCTGAAGGCACTGTGTGTACATGCATAGCAATGCTTCACTACAGTGAATTGATAGGACTAATTTGTTGTTCCAGTTTCAGATTTGTTGACTATTTCAAAGGTGAGTGAAACTAAAAAGTACTTTTCCATTGATGATTCTGTGTTCCATCATGAGGCCATTGAATCCATTCTCAAGGGTTAAGCAGTGGCCTTAACTGACTCACATATCTATCTAACAATCCTCACGCCCCAGCTAACACGGCAAACTGATCAGGGCCGACAGAGCCTAAATTCTTCACATTGTTCCATTCATCTCAGGGCACATGGCTTGTCTGTCAAAGATGCTCTCTGGAGAGAAAAGCCTTGGTCTAGAAGCTGGAATCTGCCTTGCTCCCTTGCTCCAATCCAAACCTTATAACCATCATACGCTATAGACAACAACCACCTTGGCTGGGAACCAGTACTTAAGGGCACTTTCTATCAGCAGTGTTCCAGGCAGATGGGAAAATTAGTGTGATTGGCAGAGAGGGGAAGAGGAAGATGAGGTGACTGACTGAGAATATACTGTTGCCAAGGAGGCGAGGGTTGGGGTGGGGGGTTGTGGGGCGTGACCGCTCTTAATTATCCGATATGGTTGCCAAGTGTTGGCACGGGGATAGGTTCAGAAATCGAGTGACAGGTTGCCAGCTCGGTGGGAGAAGAGCCAATACGTGCCTTCTTTGGGTTTCGAATGACAAACGCCAAGTGACTAATGCTTTTGGAGCATTGGGTGGGGGCCTATGCGCCAGCAAACATGCACCAATGGATCTCCCCACAGTCGTCAGTCATCATCACATGCAATACAAAACAGCAGTTGAGCAACAACACCCATCCCAGACCCGACCGATGCCGACCGTATCTGTTTGATTGTGAGGCTTCCCTATCAGTCCGATCTGAATGGCCCCACACTTTTAATCCGGGGTTTAGATTAGTTTCCCGCTCCAATCCCTTAAATCCCTCTCGGAATGTTTCTGTTCTGCATGTTACTCTCACCGAGATATGGATCGACTGTTAGAGCGATCGGCGATTGGTCATTGACTGCAGTCACCTCATATAATCAGTCTCAAAACAAAACAAAGCCGGCCTCCATGTTGCATGAGAGATACTGCAGGCGTGGTGTGACTATCACAGGAGGCACCAAAATGGCGGATCAGTGTTGGGTTCATAAGAAGGGGCGGCGGTAGACACTGGCTAGCCTGTCCTTGTTACCGGCCTTCAGGAACTACTTTCTTTCAGTCACTCAGGGATGGGGGATGGGATGGAGATAACCCGGCCATCGCAGGTGAGATCACCGACTCTGGGTTCAGCTGCATGTCAGGTGGAACTCCCACAATGACCCCTGTTTTCACAGTCCACACAAACATGAAACTCAGATCCAATCGCCCCCCTCTTTGGTTGTCTTTCAAATCTTTTCTTGTATTGTTGTGGCGTTTTGAAGGCTGCAAATATTTATAATCCCCACATAGCAGACACACAAGACATAACAAACAACCGTCGAAGACCGCACTTGACGCCAGTAGTGCCCTAAAAACAGTCGTTGTTTGGATTGACATGAAAACAACAATGTTGAGTCCATATAAGTTCAACTGGCGAGCGATGAAAGCTAGGCTAATATCCAAGCTTACCGGTTGGTCAGAAAACTGCATTCCGTACATTCCTCTCCCTGTTCTGTCAGCTTAAGATCGGCGCTGAGAGACTTTTTCACTAGAGTGCCGTAATTACTGTGGATGGAAGGCAACAGGAAATTGTTATTCGCAAACTACTTTGTCTCTCTCTCCGTCAAAGTGTGCGGAGACGCAACCGTGGTCGATCGGTCATCCCCCTCCTTAGGCTTGTCTCTGTGACCGACAAGGGAAGCCAGGTTTGGGATGGAAAACAAGCTAGGCCATGCCTCTATCGCCGCTACACAGCCAGGCATTAGGTGTCAGTCATCGGGAATGACACTTTGTTAGCACGTCAACACTCGAGAAGGAGGCCAGAGAGGAAAGAACGTCTCATTAAAAACTATTTGTGATTAATATTTCCATGTCGCTGCTGAGTGATTGGAGAGGTGTGTGTGCCCCTGTGTGTGTGCCAGTGCATAAGGTGTTTGTGCATGTGTGTATACATGTGTGTGTGTCTGCGCGTGATTGTGTGTTTAGGTTTATGTGTGTGTGCCCGTTTCAATCCGGAATGTGCAACATATTACACACACACACAGTGACTGACTGAATGAAGACTGGCAGGTTGAAACCTGCTGAGCAAATTACTCAAGGCTGCCTAATCATGCATTGTCTGTGGTAGATGATGACTTTGGAGAGGAATGAAAAAACTCACCCCCCTGTCAAAAGAGTCACAGTCAGTGAGGCCTAGTGGATTCAGTCAGACCCTACATGTAAAGACAAGCTGACGAGGTCATGACGATTACAGCTCCTCTTCTTTATATGACCATCAATGTCATGCCTAGTTCATCTTACAAAGTCATAAACACAAGTAGAAGTATCTTAATTGTACTGTTTCCCTTATGATCTACTGTCGAAGTGTCAAGGAATCTATGTGTTATGTAGGATCGGTCACATATGGATGATAAATTGTAATGTGAATTATACACATACCAATTTCTGACTCAAGGCATCTCTATCAGTGATTTACGTTTATGTACGTAGGATAGGACTTAAACTGTTCTATATTTACCAATGGGAAAGTTATTGTGAATGAAGAAGTAGTGGGAATAGCAGCCCTTTCCACACTGGCCCTCATATCTAAGCACTGCATTGCTTCCCCAGCTACAGCCTATCGTTTTTCTCATGCAAGTGGCGACCTCTGCTGGTATAAGAACGAAACATCAACTTGTTTAGCTTTCTTGAAACCAACACCAGCTCAACATTTTGTCACATTGCACCTTCCTGAATAGACCGCTGGCGTCATGACACCTTCTTTCATCTGTAACCACAGGAGGTTGGTGGCACCTTAATTGGGGAGGACATGTTCATGGTAATGGCTGGAGCGGAATCAGTGGAATGGTATCAAATACATCAAATACATGGTTTCCATATGTTTGATGCCATTCCATTCGCTCCCTTCCAGACATTATTATGAGCCGTCCTCCCCTCAGCATCCTCCACTATGTAACCATCAAAACAATATAACCTTGACTAGACTAGACTACTATTTCCCTCTTCTTGTGCTGTTATCTGGGCACCAGCCTTTATTTTAATGTTGAAGAAGAGTATGTCGCTCACTATATTGTGCAGGTAGTTACAATAGAAAGCAACTACCATAATGTCACGAAACCACATACTGTACACTGCATTATTATTGAATGCAATAACATGAATTGTTATAATTGAAACACGTGCGATCTAATGTGCAATACATGCATCATACATGCAATATAGCCTACAGGCCAGCAGAGGCATAGGCTAGCATATAGGGCATAGCAGCAGCAAAAATACATACTCCTGCTGCATATATACATTATGGTGTCCTTATGTGACCCCCCAAAACACACCACACCTCTGCGGTTCTCAATTGTAGGCTAGTGATGTCATCAACCAAATCTCACCCCAGACTTGATCATTAGGATAGGCTACACGTTATGCAACAGTGATCATTAATGGGCAAAAGATTACGGCGCAGTCAATCTATTTTAGTCCACTAAAGCTTATTAGCGGACTAGACTGTAGTGCGAGAGAGAGTGGTGGGTGACTCCCGGGTGAGACTGATAGATAGCGGACCCGAGTATAACTGCATAGCGGAGCGCGTTTCTGTCCTCCGGGCTTGCGTTTCCCTGAGGTTGTTGCACCGCTCTCTAGGTCCTTCTCTCCCCGTCTATCTCGCCCTGAACTCTTTTTGCCTGGACTCGCATAGACAGACGGGCGGACATACTGTAGTGAGGGGGACGGACCCGTGTTCACCATGTTGACATTGTTGACAGCGATGTATATAGTGGTGCAGGCGGCATCGTCGGAGGTAAGACGCTTCTCCTTGACCGCACCATCATACCAGTTGGGCTCTCAAACTAAATATAAAGGCTACCTTTGAATAAACTACAGTTGCAAATTTGACATTGACTCTCCTCCCTATAGCCTATGTCTTGTTGAATTACCGCGAGAAGCTCTTACAAAGCTAATCCTATAGGGTAGCCTAGTGAAATATTTGGTTTATTCGGATCCCCATTAGCTTTTGCCGAAGCTTCAGCTATTCTGTCTGGGTAGTAGACACTGTCGACTAGAAAAATATAGCCTCATAGGCTACTATTTTGGGGTATATATCCGTAGGCTATCCCTCAGTCAACAATACATTCGAATTGAGTAGCCTACTCTGAGTCCTACTCATTCATAATGTAGCCTACAGACTTGAACAAAGTGTCTGTGGCTGGACAGTCCTGTCTGTGTGACCCCATCATAATTAATGAATGGACTGCCTCCCTTCCGCAGCTTTGGTAAAGAACGCGAGCGGGTGTTCATTGCAGATTACACCATGGCTAACTCCTTGCGACCCGGTGCGTCAGACAGGCGCTGCCTCCAGGGGAAGTCAACTATTTTCACCTGGCCATTATGTAACATTAATGCCCCACTTCCCACAATCATAATGAAACGGATCTAATTAAGCAATAAGGCACGAGGGGGTGTGGTATATGGCCATATACCACGGCTAAGGGCTGGTCTTAAGCGCAACGCTGAGTGCCTGGATACAGCCCTTAGCGGTGGTATATTGGCCATATACCACAAACCCTTATTGCTATTATAAACTGGTTAGCAACGTAATTAGAGCAGTAAAAATAAATGTTTTGTCATACCTGTGGTATATGGTCTGATATACCACGGCTGCCAGCCAATCAGCATTCAGGGCTAGAACCACCCAGTTTATAATTAGTTTTTTTTATATCTGTTTGCATAACAATAATCACATTTTCAGCCATATAGCGTTTGGTTGGAAGGTGTATATGTGTGTATCCTGTATATACGACTAATAAAACTTAAATAAAGGTTAATAATATTAGGTAACTAAGAGACGTTATATCTGCTGTATCAAATACTAGGCTGCATGTCTGTGTTAGGTCCTGGTTGCTTGATGTAACAGAGTAGACATTAATAATAGATACAAGTCAACAGGCTTAGTTCTTGAAACGGGTTATTTTGAACCCTCTGAATGCATCCCCAGAGGAACATGCCAGAAAGGATGGAATTATTTCGCTTCCAAACTAAATTGTATTCACTAAACCTAACCTTGTTCTTACCCCCGCCCTAGAACAAAAAGCTCTTATGCCTGCTCATCAGTTGTGAAGATAGTGCTACTTTTGTCTGTTCTATTGCCAAGCATCTTGTGACTAGTCTACCAGAGCCACATCACTGCACTTGACTTCAAATGACCCCACTCTTGACCCCAGTGGAGGCTACAGACAGACATCTTGTTCCAATAGTTAAACCAATATGGACAAATCTTGTCCAGCACTTTCACTTATCAGTGGTCATGAAGCAATGAGGTAATGAAAGAGAAGTGTCTCCATCTTACAGACAATGGCCATTAATAGTTGCTTGGTAGTAAGTCACAGAACCGACCTTTGACTCAGTCTAATCAGGCTTTTGTTGGGTGTTTGAATGAATTGTTGCTTGAAATATTGTTAATCATATAATAGTCGGTCTTATTAACTTTAATTATAAGCCATTAATAGATCATTTATAAAGCATGTTTTTGATTTGCTGAACATTTATCCTGTTGGTAGGCTAAATCTTTATAGCAAAATGCTGTGTGCTGTAATGTAGGTGTGATGCATTTGTAAAACCAAACATAGATTGAGATCAGGGTATAGGCCTACTCTGGGACAAGGGGTTGAATTCATTGGCTGAATTCAACTTGGCATGGGCTACCAAAAATCCACTAATAACATCCCAACCCAACTCTAATGTATATCTCTGATTAATGAAGTGTATATAGATTAAAATGTGTGTTTTCTTTAAAATAGATTTTTAAAAAGCTTGGCCCAGTGCAAATACTATGCCATCCTCCTTCATTCATTGATTAGGCTACAGTAAGAACTGCAAATAAATGTGTACATAAAATCCATAGGATACTGTCTATCCAGCCCTTCTAGAGTAGTGATGAACGTCTGCTAATTTATTAAAAAGTTATTTTAAAAAATGTACGGCTGAAAGAAGCAAGAAGCAAGGTATTAGTAAAACGATACATTTGAACGCGGCCCATACTCAGGTTTTTTAGATCTATGGTCCATATAAGGTCGTGTGGGCGTGGCCTAAGATAACAACGAGCTCGCGCTGCAGCGGTTCTTCATGGGGAATGTGTTCGTTTTCGTGACTTGGGCGGGTAAAAAGATGAGCATCAGTGAATATTCAACTACAGATCCCAGGACAGGAATCCAGTGCGCCACCGCGTGACATTTCAATACAAGCGCAGAGGTGACCCTTCTGTTTAGTCCTAGCGGGAGAACAGTGTTTGCAGGCTTTACTAGATCCTCTATCTCAAGTGAATATGGTAGATGTTTTATCTTGTTGCTGTCAGTTAAAGCTAACTGTTATATGAATGATGCATCGAAAGTGTTAGCTAGCTAGGAAAACAGATGCTTGTCATTGCTGATGATCAAATGTGGTTTTGTGTCCACTTGTCATTGAAGCCGGGAGCTAGCATCAGCGGTTAATCTAATGTTTGATCAAAGATTAGTCTGTTGTGTCAGCAAAGATTTCTGGCTAACGTTCACCATCTCTTTCTGAAGTCGTTTGCTAACGTTAGTCAGAAAGATGGCCAACCAGCCATCTTGTGCAGTGAGAAGAAAGATGAGGATGTTGGATTTTTTAATAGTCTCTAGCATACAATTGCGAAATGAAGAGAACAAAGTACCCGATTAGGAAATTGTTTCTGCTTTTTCACACTAGCAACAATGTAGCCGCGGTGCCTTCTCTTTTCAGTCGTTATGGCTACATTGTTGCAGTAGCAGACTTTCGCGCTTGGCATTAGTAGAAAATTGCATCATCGTCTTTCATTCATTCATTCATTCATGATGACAATGGATATCAAGAACAGCTTGAGTCGCCCATTTTGAAGATATTGGACGCGTTCCTCTGCCCAGGCGTTGCTGACGCATGCCATATCTTACAATGCCTGGATAGGTATTTTATGTATCAGCTAACTACAGCTGTTATAGCAATCTGGCAGTAAATGACAGTCCACGATGCCGCACGCAACCATTGGTTGATGCATGCAACTTCTGAGCAGGGGAACTCGACCAACATATGGGCGCTGCGTGAATCAACCAATGGTTTCATGCCACGTCATCCACTGCGTCATCCACTTACCGATTTGCTATAACATATGATGTGGTAAGCTGATATGTAAAATACCTATCCAGGCTTTGAAAGATTTGGCATGCGTCAGGAACGCCTGGGCAGAGGAACGTGCCCCTTATGTGGAATATAACTTCAGTAAAATGTAAAAGCCATACATAATAACTGAATAGCCTACATATAGCTCTTAATCGTTGCTCTTTCAAACAACAGTTAGCGTTATATTGCAGAAAACAGCAATAAATGCACTTTGTGGGCTAATGCAAAGTGCGTTTCCATCTGTCGACACTGAGTTTTGTCCTTTTAATCAACATAGCAGTCAGATGCGATTACTGCCGCTTCAGTTGCTTATCCCAGCTATGTAGGTCATTACTGCTGTGTTGGAAGATTGCACAGAGTGAGTATGGACCGTGTGTGTTTTTTTGCAGGCCGACCCAATCCGTGTGCTGGTGACTGGCGCTGCTGGACAGATCGCCTACTCTCTGCTGTACAGCATCGCCAAGGGAGATGTCTTCGGCAAGGACCAGGTAACACGGCCTAGGACTACTTATATCCGCACACTCTCTCTTTCAAATCAGCTTTGGCCTCGAGAGAGCACAGGAGGCAGATGGATGTTGTAATATGTAGGCTATAATGACGCCGTTACATAAGCATGTGTGAATTATACATGGGATGTGAATTTTTGGCATGAGGTCGGGAGGGGCAGATTCTTATTTTTGTCAGTGGCTTAAAGAAGAATAAAAAAATCCCTCTTTGCATTTGTTTCTTTTCCAGCCCATCATCTTGGTCCTGCTGGACATCTCTCCCATGTTGCCAGTTCTGGATGGGGTTGTGATGGAGCTGCAGGACTGTGCTCTCCCACTCCTGAGGGGTGAGCTATGCTTTTCTATTCTGCCTGGGCTGGCCGTGAGAACATATGAGTGAGAACATATGCACCCATTATAAATAGGCATGCTTTTTGTATATTTAAAAATGCATTGCGTGTGTATGGACTGTATATGTGTGTCTCCCTGCTGCTGCGGTACTTTTCCAATAGCCCTAACTTCACAGCAGCAGGAATGGTCAACCGCAGACTGCTGTGGGAAGGAGTGTCAGAAAGGAGGCCTCCTATTAGTCTGTTCCCAAGGCCCTATAGGAAATTCCAACCAATCCTGGGAGTGGTGGGGCAACAATAGGGGAGGCGGGGTACAAGACATCTCTTGCACCAGTGAGCCCTGACTGAAGTTCATCCTGATAAAACAGGGAAAGAGTTTTTCGTGAGTGGCCACAGACCATACATTGTCTATGAAATCAGCCCATTTGGCAGTGTTTCAAGGAACAAGACAATTTATCAGCAAGGTGGAGCCACTGAGTGCTAGGCTATTTGTTTGGAAATAACCTGGTGTGTGTGTGTGTGTGTGTGTATGTTTTCCACACAGAGACTGTTTGTTCTTCCCTTGCATTCATGTACACCCAGATGAGCCTGAAATGGCAGTATAATTATTGTAAATGAAAACTGAAACTGCCACCACACCTACTATTTTACTAACTTTAGCAGACATTCTGCTTGATTTGTCTTAAAATCATAATTGTATTGCTTTTATGTCAAATCTGAATTTCATGTTCATTGCTGAATCCAATACAAACATACATCTCTCCACAAATGTGGCAGTAACACTAAACGTTGGCCACTACATCCACTCTATCCAAGACAATATATATCCATCGTAACTAACAGTCACCGCACCATCTTCATCCACAGAGGTCATCCCCACCGACAAGGTGGAGGTGGGCTTCAAGGATCTGGACGCCGCCATCTTGGTGGGCTCTATGCCCAGGAAGGAGGGCATGGAGAGGAAGGACCTCCTGAAGGCCAACGTGGCCATCTTTAAGACCCAGGGGGCCGCCCTGGAGAAGTACGCCAAGAAGACCGTCAGGGTAACTGTCCCTCTGTGTGTCTATGACTCGGCATGTTTTAGGGCCACTGCCGCAGAGCAGCAGCCTGGCTGGAGAGAGAGAGACACACACCCTGTACCAAATAGATAGCTGTCATTGCTAACGATAATCAAGGGACATGAAGGCACCACAGTACAGCAAAGGCCAGGTTGTGGGGCGTTGAATGATGTTAAGGGATGTTTTGGGGAAAGGGTCATCATTTGCTTTTACTGATGGAACATTTTAGTGAGATATATTTTTTATTTATGTTAAAGACTTTATGTAATACCTCTAGTTCTAGGACATTTGAAATGAACCACTACATATTTTACAACTTTCCTTCCTTTTAAAGTCATACAAACCTTTTGACAAATCAGACTATAATTGGACCTTTTCACATTTCAAATGGGCCAGTTTTATTGGACAGCCTTATACTTCGATGGTATTGGTGCAAATTCACATTTTTAAAGGCTTTTAATCCTGTGTGGAATGGGCTGGGTTCCAAAGTCAGGGATGAAAGCTACTCCATGCTGTGTTGTGTGTACACACTGCAGTCACTGGTGTCACAAGGGGGCCTTTGGCCACTGCGGTTTGCAGCAACAACGACACGTCAGTGTGACGAACAAAGCCTCAGCTCTTCTATGGCCAAGGTCAACTACTTCTGATCCAGGAATGTGTGTGAATTTGAATGGGCAGGTTTCTATATGTTCTATATAGCTACATAAGAACTGGATGGCCATCCTCTAAAGTAAGTGTGTTTTAGAAGAAGAATACTTTATTAATCCATACCAGATGGAAATGTGTATTCTACTTTACCCAATCCCTCAGAGGATACGCACATACACACAAGTACCCACATTGGGCAGAAACAGTGCAGCGGCCCGGTGAGCAGTTAAGGGGTTAAGTGCCTTGCTCAGGGCCACAACGGCGGGTGATGTTATCTTTCTAGGATTTTACACCAACTCATCTTGGCAAATGAGCCTAATGTTGGCAAGGTAGCACTGGCAGCCAAACACTCACGTACACACAGCAGTCCCTTTAAATTTAGCTAATCCTTGACCTTCATTTAAAGGGGATGTATTCTGTGTGTGACATCTATCTTATATTGATTTATAGGCCATTTTAGAAAGTGTCAGCATTTCCCTTAGCCATGACTCATGTTTCTCAGTTGCACTGCTACTCTTTCTGATGATCCGCCAGCTCTGCTTGCATAAACCAAGTGTATGCTTTTAATGTATAAATAGTGACATACAATGACACAAATGAAGATGAGGACTTAAAATAGGACTTGTATCCTACTCTTGATTTCTACTCTGAAATTGAGCTGTTCCTGAACCTGTAGTTTGAGTGAGGGATGACTCTTCAACGTTTCTAAAATCTCTCTCTCTCTCTTTCTCTCTCTCTCAGGTCTTGGTAGTGGGAAACCCTGCTAACACCAACTGTCTGATTGCGTCCAAGTCCGCCCCCTCCATCCCCAAGGAGAACTTCTCCTGCCTGACTCGTCTAGACCACAACAGGGCCCGTTCCCAGGTAGGCCAAAGCCAAAAGGCCCCGTCCAGAAAAGGCGACTAGTTCCTAGCCTCTAGGCACTTGATGTAAGGTCCAATCCTAAATGGATCCCTATAACCTATGCACTTCTGGATATCTGAGAGTATTAGGTGTGAGCAAAATGATTGGCTAGATGGAATTTTTACCATACTGCTTAAACCTAGTCAATCATCTTATCTCCACAAGTGCATAGGGTGTAGGGGCTATTTCGATTTGGAATTAGATCTGAAACAATTGAATGGGTATACCAATATGGGCAAAAATCCCATGAATTGCATCACAACCTGTGTCGGCCTCTATAATTAAAATATAATATGCCATTTAGCAGACGCTTTTATCCAAAGCGACTTACAGTCATGTGTGCATACATTTTTACTCTAGGTGGCGATGCGTTGTGGCGTGCCCGCCGATGCAGTCAAGAACGTCATCATCTGGGGCAACCACTCATCCACTCAGTACCCTGACGTGCACCACGCCATGGTCAACGTGCATGGCAAGGAGGTGGAGGCGTACGACGCCGTGAAGGACGACAGCTGGCTCAAGGGAGACTTCATCTCTGTAAGTGAACTCTAGTTTTGGCTCTTCTGGCCTAACCCATTTTGACACAATTTCCCTTAAAAAATTTACTATATGACATTTTAACAATTTGCTTCAAAAGGCATGATTCTGCCTGTTTTTTTGATGGCTTTGTTTATGAAAATGTTCAGGGCCTCAAACTGTACAAATGTACCAAGTTTCATGCTTTTATGAAAAAGTAAACAATTCCACCCCAAATCTGCACACATCTTGGACTACTGCTCATAATGCTTTATGGATGTAGTTATAAATATTAATGAGCAGCTATTTGCACCTATGTTGTGTATTTGTGCCTTATGCATAGCTCATAGGTATTATAAATGTGCGATCCTTACCTGAATGAATCCCTATGCATGGAAAGCGAGTGTAGGTTGTAGGCGTCATTTGGACCCCATATCTCATCTTTTAATAATCTCTGATCTTATCTGAATACAAGCATTTTCACTGAATCTGTTAGTCTCCTTTAGTCCAGTGTTGTGCCTTTTGTAGTTGTAATGAAGCAGTCCTAATGCCCCCTCTGTCCCTTCCTCCTCTTCCCCCCTTCTCTCTTCCTCTCCTCTCTGTCTCCTGCAGACGGTGCAGCTGCGTGGTGCCGCCGTCATCAAGGCCAGGAAGCTCTCCAGTGCCATGTCTGCCGCCAAGGCCATCTGTGACCACATGAGGGACTGGTGGTTCGGCACTCTTGATGTAAGCCATGTGTTTGGGAGGTGGGGTGGAATGGTGTCAAGGATCTGCAGCAAACCCCTTTTTTCCAAACTCCATAAAACACTAATATTTAACACTTAACAACTAACATTGTTCAAATGTTTATATTTTGAAAAGCAATATCTCGGAACAGAGCACCGTAACCCCTCTTTATTTTCAATCTGGAAGAATCCACAAACATGCAAAGCCTTTTGTTTGGATGTCTCAGACAAATTCATTTGAATTGACTGTACTCTTCAGTGGAAAAATAATATCATAGGGTTGCAAAATTCTGCAAACTTTCCCAGGATTTCTGGAAAACCTGGGAATTTGGGGGGAAGTTACCAAAATGTTGTGTTTTTTGTGAAGCTGTGTCCCTGGCCTGACTGTTTGTCCTGTTGTTATTTTCAGGGTGAGTTCATGTCTATGGGTGTGTACGCTGGTGGAAACTCCTACGGAATCCCCGAAGACCTCATTTACTCATTCCCTGTTCATATCAAGGTAAGGCATAACCATAGAGATGGATAGAGGGCTCTTGTGCCACAGTTTATTTACGAATTGCCAAAACTTGTCACTCATAGCCCTCAATGGCACTGCTCGTTCTGTCACAGAAGAGGCCATTGTATAGATAGGAGATGGGCTGTCTAGCATTTCTATGGGCATAACTAATCAACCCTGGCAAAGTGTATTAATAGAACATACATATAATTTACCGATGGGTGGTTATTGAAAGTCATTGTTACCCAACATCAGCTTTTCAGAGTTTAGGTTATACCAACATAGGCCTACTATTGCAAGCCAGCAGTGTACACTGACTTTTGCCGCATTCATGTGCTATCAGAAAATTGTGACAAAACTGATGTTACGCAGAGCATTATGGGTACTGTAGTAGTGTACTGTAGTTGTGATCCTGGACTAGATGAGATGTGCTAAAGAGCCCCCTGTTTGATCCTTATCCATATTCTCCCCACAGAACAAGTCGTGGAATATCCATGACGGTCTGCCCATCAACGACTTCTCCCGCTCCAAGATGGACGCCACAGCCGCTGAGCTGGTGGAGGAGCGAGACACGGCCCTGTCCTTCCTGAGCCAGTGACTCGCAGTGCCACCTACTGGCACACCGCCACAACAGCAGCACTTAGAAAACCCCCAGAACCCTCCTGACTCACGTCTGTGACCAATACCCCCACTCGAGTCCCGCTGCGCACTTGGTGTGTGTGTGTACCTCTCTGTATGTATGTGTGGTGTGTTTCACTTTGTTAATCTCTTTAAGGTAACGGTTATTAATAATAAACCTGTAATTAAAAAAAATGCTATCTAAACGTTGGCCTTTGTCGGAAGACACTGGAGGATTGTCCTTTGGGTAGATGATAACGCAACAATAGTTCTACTGTACTCGTACATGTTATCCAACAATAAAAACAGATACAACTGATAAATCATTATGTGGATTGTGGTTGGTTATTTGACTAAATATCTCTAAAGCTGGGGTTTTCTGTTATTTTTCAGTTAAGTTAATATCAAAGTTAATTTTTAAGTTTACTTGGAAATATAAATATTATAGTTGTATTTCTATAAATATGGTAGTTATATCATGATATGTGAAATGTTCAGTAACTATTTTTCTACCCCCTCTTTCCATTGAGGCACATTGAGCCTTCAAACATGTTGAACTCAAAGTATTGTGATCAAAGAGGGCATTTCTGAAGTTAATTATTATCTTGTCAGTCAGACAAAAGACAGACAATCATTACATGTTGGATGTCGGTGAGGTCAAAGATGGTGAGGTTCATTGCCCTTTGCAGTGACACGTTTGACCACATGGTGGCAGTGTTGACAGCTTTATACTACTCGGGGACCCTTTCAAATCGACCAAATGGTAGTTTAACCGTATTAACAAGATTCTAATGGTGAAAAGCCTAACATTTGTAGGATATTGTAATTTCCTGTTAGCCAATCATTTCTTACAATGAGTTATCAATGTTTCAAAAAATAGCAGTTGCATGAACGTAAAGTACTGTTTGTTTTTACAAACATCCGAGAACCTATCATGAAACGGGAATCAATCATTTAATCAACCATCCTGGACTGGCAAGGGGCTGAACAGTAAGTCTACTGTTTGGTGAGCTGTGCAATGCAGGCAGAGGGGGGTCCGGAAGACCCATACACCCCACTCCAGGGAAAAGGAGAAGAGGGACACAGTCCCTCACATAGAGATCCTATTCAATTACAATTACATATATTTTGTAATATTTTATAATATTTGATCAATTGCTTCACTGGTGTCCTGGTCTGGTCTCAAGTCATTGATGTCCATCTTTCATTGAATGTCCAATAGTTGCTAGCACATTACAGAAGGCAATCAAAGACTATATAGGCTAGGCTTTTGGGAACTATTTGATGAGATCACATAGAGATCCTATAAAATTACAATTACATATAAACAAAAATACATTATTTTAGAGTATTTGATCCATTTCTGGAATGAAAGTTTTCCTACCAAGAAGGATGTATTTTTAGGCTTTTGGTCCCTCATCAGCTGACCACCAGAACAAGGGAGTCTGATGGGCCAAAAAGGCATGGTACCGGGCCCAAAAGCAGAAGGCCTCCACTGAGGTTTGGGTTGTATTTGGGGACTATTTGGAGGGGTGGATTAAACCGAAAAGATGTTTGGGAAGAAAGGCTATTAAAGGGAAAAATACTTCGGAGAAGAAGGTGAGTTAGGCTATCTACTGAACAAAGTCATTCTTGACTAATACTCAGATTAGTCAGCAGAGTAGCCGTCTGAAAGGCATTAGGTAATGCTTTTTATTTTGATGGACAGCCTTTGTTAGAAAAATACTTTTATAGATTCATAAACTGTGGAGACAAATCTGCACAGCCAGCGAGAAAGAGGCGGAAGAGCTCAGGTCCACCCTCGTGAACAAGATTCTGATTGGGGTAAGTGTATTTTTGCATGCTTTAATTGGCCACTGACTCACCAATCGTTTGCCCTCATTAACTGACCTGACTAAAAGCCAACTTCGACATTTCCGGCTTTATTATGGCATGGCGTAGTGCAAGAAGCCTGTCAAAAATAAATATACTCCACTGGACGGTGAAAATGTACCTTTTAAAGTGTTCATTTGTCACTTGTTTCACAGGCCGAAACCCAGCTCGCTAAAGTAGCCAAGCACCTTGGAGTTCTTTGGTGGATTGATATAAAAATAATTATCATCAGGTGGGTAGCCAATGTAATGAATGACGTTTGAAACATTTAGCTTGAAAACGTGGTGCTTGTGATGTAAAAATGCACTACTAGAGCCTTTTAAACTAAAAAATTGGCTGCTGGCATGGATATTTGAGTTGCTACGGCTGCTGCAGAATGACTAGCTTGCCCCTGCCACTTCGTCTCCAAGTTTACCGTGGCATGTAGCCAATATAGCGCACCGTGTGGCTAACGTTAATCCAAGGTCAAATTAATCAATACAAATAATGTATGAGCCGTACGTCAACGGCGGGGTAGGACCAACCTATGATGCTATTCAAGGAACCGCGTTATGGGGAAATGTGGACAAATCATGTATTTGCCTCAACGTTACAGATTTTGCCCACGAATATGTGACGTATGGATCAGAGAGGCGTTTTCCATAAGAAATAACTCAATTTTCATTTTAATTCCTACCTCTCGCTAGGCTGCCTGCTGTGCTATATGTCTACATGCAGGCACTGTAGCCTACATTAGAAATACACTGATAAAAGCATTCAACATATCAGCTGGCAAGACCTTACATTTTAACACTTTTTAGTCATTTAGCAGACGCTCTTATCCAGAGCGACGTACAGTTAGTGCATACCTTTTTCAGACGACCCCTGCTAAAGAGGGGTCGTCACTAGCTACTACATCCACGAAGTCCTAAACCCCGCCTATTTCTAAAATGTTTATTCTTAAAATATGATTTTATACCTAACCTTAACTACACTGCTAACCTTATGCCTAACCTTAAATTAAGGCCAAAAGCAACCTTTTTTTGTGTGTGGAATTTTTATGATGTAGCCTATTTTGACTTGTGGCTGTGCTATCTAGTAGAAACCCTAAAGAGGTGGGAGAACTGAGAACAGTGCATTTGCCCTGATGGGTGGTGTCGGGTTACTGATGGATTGATACATTGTTTCTTGGGACTGCAGTTCATATTTGCTCAAGCGCGATCGGCTGTGTCTGGTGTCGAGTCATTTATGTTTATCTTTTATTGAATTACGTCTAATATTTGCTGGCAAATTATAGAAGACTATCGAAGACTATAAGCTAGACCTTTGGGATCTTATTTGGAGAAACTCTCTTGGCACATATTTTGTCATACGTCCAAAGATGTCTGTTTTGGATGGTAAGTTTTCAGTACCTGTCCGGTAATGAGTCGGATGGCTACTTTCCCATTGCTATTGATTGCTCTTGACAGTTATTTTTTCCATGACAATAAGTCTTGACTTCTCTTAGTTTGGAATGATTTCCACTTTTTGGAACGCAGTGCATTCTTTTTACTTATCTATATTTCTGATGTCGTCTTGAATTGAGGCTACTGATATACTGAGAATATAGATTTCACCAAATCAGTATTATGCAATACTGTGAATTGCCAAATTAAGGCTACCAATCTCTTAGTGGGGGATATTTTCATGTTGAGTGATTTGCATGTCAATTGTACCCAGAGCTTGGTTGCTGCTATGTTTTATATTATTTTCTTAACATAACACATCCTGTATTGAACAGAGGGTGAACAAACCACAATTGACTGGTTCAATAATAAAGGGACAGGTAGCCTAGCGGTTAGGAACGTAACCGAAAGGTCGCTGGTTCGAATCCCCGAGCCGACTTGGTGACAAATCTGTCTGTGCCCTTGAGCAAGGCACTTAAACCTAATTGCTTCTATAAGTCGCTCTGGACAAGCACGTCTGCTAAATGACTTTTTTTTAAAATAATATTGACCGAATAGGCTTGACTTGTTAATGGTATAATGGATATAGGAAGAAAATGCTAGATGTCCATTAAAATAGATCCAATAAGCCAACATGTGGGTAGACATTTGCATGGCATCATATGTAACCACGTTCCATTTCACCTATTGTAAAATATTGTACTTGCTTGCTTATGAATGACTACAAGCTGCCTCGCTCATTAGAACACAGGCATGCAGTTGTTTCAAGAAGGCTTTATGACTGAACATCTTTAAACTGACCTTATATTCTCTTTGATCGTTTTGAGTGGTTCCAGCAGAATGAACGAACTAGCCCTCTCCCTCTCTTTCTTTCTCTCTATCGCTCCTTTCTCTCCTTTGACTTCATACTCTTTGATTGTTTCGAATGGTTCAAGCAGACTGAATGATGAAATACCTCTCTGTCGCTTTCTTTCTCTCTCTCTCCTTTCTCCCGGCAGATCTCAGCAAAGCCGGGATGGCAGAGTTTCAGGAGAAGCTGCGGCTGCAGCATGAGACCTCCATGCACAAAGAGCTGGAGAAGCTGCTGACCACAGCCAATGGGGCTGAGCAGGAGGTGGGCCTGGGGTTTAGGGGTTTGGAGCGAGAGTACCTGGTGCATGTTTGTGGATCTAGGGTGGTTGTTTTGGAGGAGTGAGGACATTTCTTGGCCTGCTGGACTGAATTCTGGGAGGGGAGCAGGATGGTGAATGACCTGTGTGTCTCTCAATGGGTCAAACACAGACGCACACACTTCACGATTTCACAACATGGACTTCTCTTCTACCTGTCTTTCAGCTCCTCTCCCCATCTTTTCACCTCCTCACTCTTTGCCCCCTTGTTTACTTATAAGCCCCCAACAGGCTTGCTGTTAAACCCCTTTTCTATATATGATGTAGGCCATACATTCCCACATAAATCATTGTCACTTTTCATCACCACTGAGCCCTTACCTTACAAAGCATCAGCTATTACCGTGCCATCCCACAAGCACAGCGCACAACCCATCAAAATAACCCATTTGACCAGAAACTGGAAAGACAATTCTCCTCCCTGCTTAGCAAACAGTTACACTAATTTGTATGCAGTTAGCATTGCTACTGCTAACTAAAGCATTGGCATGATGGCAAAAGTTTACAAGATAAGCATTCTCGCTCTGTACAGCAAGTGGTTCCTTTTTTACGCTCCTCCTGGTTTCACTTCAAACACAACACATTCAAGTTAGACTGCAGAGGGGGGAGAAAACGCAATTAAAACCCACCAAGGAGCCCGGAGGGTTGAGGAACGAACAGTGAGATGGGCTAGGTGGGAGTTGTAATGATTATCCCAATGGGGGCATTTAGAACACACTGAACCGTAACGTACATGAAAGCCATTAAGCAAAGGTCAGAAAGGAGGGTTGTGGGCAGAATACTTTGATTATAGGGAGTGGGCAGGAGAGGATGAAAGTCTATGCTTCACCAAACAGACTGCATCGACAGACTAGAGAAAT